GATGTGAGAGACAAATGGGGGTTTCATGGTCCTGGACATTTCGTCCTGTCATGTCTGATATAGAACTCAAGCGGATGGCTCTCCAGCCATGCTGGAACGAACGCTCCTAAATCCAATCAAGAGATGAGGTATCCGATAAACCATGGTAGCGATGGATACAAGAATGATATAGACCTTAACAAAAGAATCAAACAAATGCGCGAAGGTCATGAGAAAAATGTAGAAGATGAAAGGCGCGAGAATATAAAGATTGCTAGCATACAACGTTTCCGCTCTAGACATGGAATCTACAATCCTGGGGAGAGTTTGCTAGAGACAACAGGATTGGGAACTCGGGGTACGGATATTTCGGCAACAAGAGACCAATTTAACGCTCATCGGGGACCTCAAACAGATACTTCCCGAAATATATTCTATCAGGAAGACACACCAAGTACGGTATCGGAATTTATGTTACATCGAAGACCTGATACTGATACAGATATTGAACTGGCTATAAATACACCGCTACCTATATCTCCTATTTCGGATGCGATTGTTCCCGGTTCGGCTGCCACACCTGAAATGACATTTTCAACTCCAAGCGACATAACAACAAGGGTTCTTTCGTCCCCTAGTCTGGTCGAAAGAACCGACCCAAGAGATTCTTCAAGAAAACAAGTATTCAACCCAAGAACGGGTTTGTGGATATTCAAGAATGGAAATACACACAAGGAATTAAAGAGGGAATGGAGAAGTCATGGTAATGCTACTCCCAAAACATGGAAACATGTTCCTTATTAGGGAGTTTGTTGGCAAAGCCAATGAACAAACTATGTTTTTTATTTTCTATTTACAAAGCTAAATGCCAAGAAAGAAGGTTTCTATGCCGGCACAGACAGCGCCCCTTGTGGGCGCGCTGGGACGAAGTCCAAGTGCCAATGCCGGCTTCGGCATCCAAGACCCCATACCAGAGGAAGAAGTACTGCATCGGGAATCAAGCGACGAGGATGAAGAAGATGAAGAACATCAAGATTATGTCCAAGAACTTGTCAATAAGTATACAGCGCCCCCCCAAAGGGGGGGTGCGCTGGAACGAAGTTCAACAGCGCTCCCCAACAATAGCAAGGAACAAAATGATGCGCCATTACCCAAGAAACGTAGTGCATCAGAAAAGCAACGGGCTCACCTAGAAAAGACCCGAGAGAAGGCCCTTCAAGTCAGACGAGAACTTGCAGCAAAGAGGAAAGAAGAAAAGGAACTCGAAAGAAAACGTAAGGAAGAAGAAAGGATTTTGGCTAAGGCTGAGGCTCTTATGGAGCAAGAGAGACGTATCGAGGCAAGACTTCGTGCAAGGGACGTTGAAAAGGAAATAAAGAAGACTTCTCCTGTTGTAAAAAAGCGAGTAAAAACACCCATACCCAAACCCAAGAAAAGACAACACATTGTAGTTGAGGAATCTTCAGATGAATCTTCTTCAGACGATTACGAAATTGTCAAAGTCATAAAGAGAAAACGCCCCGCCCACCAAACTACTGAAAAATACGCCGAAGCCAACTTACTCCCTGTTGAACTTCGTTCCAACGCACCCCCCCAAAGGGGGGGCGCTGTGCACTCGCAAAGGGTCCATTCATTCTTTGACGACATAATATAGACAATGCTTCCACAAGGGGGAGCCAAGACGTGTTGACGAACACCTACTTTATTTCTAAGCTATGATGATAAAAAGGAAAAGAAGAAGATGCCTTTGCCGAATAGCATTCAAGGCACTTATACAGTACGAAGAAATTTTGAAGTTCTCGACAATTTCAAGTCTGGGAAAATTAGAGCCGATTTCATCTATGGAGACAGTTTGCAAAATAGAAATGGTATAGTAACTATTCTCGATTTGGATAGTGGTACACCTAGCCTGTCTATTGAAAAGAATAATGGAAAATATCTAATATCTCTTGAAGAAACAACCTATCAGTTTCCACTCTATATAGATAATACTAGAAATGTCAGCCTTGTGATGGATAACACCCTGCTTATAACAGAAAACGGACTATCAGTTAGCCGAGAACCGCTCCAGCAACCATTATATCGTGATGAGTCATCACAGGCTATTGGTATACAAATTGATGATGATGAATTGAAAGTGGATAATGAAAAATTGACAGTTGTTCCTTTGAATTACGAGT